GTGTGCGCGCGCTGTCATCCGGAGGTGTGTGTGTTTTTGTGTGTGTGTGCGCGCGCGTTGTCGTCCGGAGCAGGGTTAAGTGTGTGTGTGTGTGTGTGTGTGCGTGTGTGTGCAATATGTGTGTGTGTGTCTGTGAAAAGAGCAGAGACAAGCTAGAAGATCTCCTCAACAGTTTTTGGAGTTTTTGCTCAATAAAATAGATAGACGTCTGAATTTTCAAGTCTATCGACTGTATTTACATTAACCCACTGGCAGCTAAAATCCACGCCTACACTATCGAGCGCGTATGAACTGTGATTACTTTTATATTGCTGATTAGCTGTTGGGCATTTCACTCTCTCACTGAAGGCAGTCGACCAATCGCAACAGACTGTCATTGGTCCAATCAGCGCAGATTAGCTTCGCGCTAAGGAGGGGTTTTGGGAACAAATGAATCACTGGACGATTCATACGGGAGTCGCTGGGATAATTAGGTAAAAATAAAGGCAGATTATAAGATCATGAAAGTGTTTTTTGACCTTGCATGCATATTAAACTGTTGTTGGAGAACCTTACAACCAAGATATGACCCTATTTCATGTATAATATGGGCTCTTTAAACAACGTGGTGCAAAATGGGAAAACTAGGGTTGCGCTGGTCTAAAAACAGCAACACATTGCGCCAAACACATCTTGCGCCTTATTGCACTGGGTGTATGATAGGTCCCCTACTCTTTATGAGAAGTGCTAAGGGATTTTTAATGACCACAGAGAGTGATGACCTCAGAATAATGTTTCATCTGAAAGAACTTTAAAATGCCATGCTTTTAAAAAATTACTTTTTAAAAATTAACATGAAGGGCTCTATTTTAACGATCTAGGCGCAAAGTGCAGGGCACAAAAGCATTAAGGGCATGTCAGAATCTGCTTTTGCTATTTGCAACAAGGTGCATGGTCTAACAGGGTTGAGCTTATTTTTTTAATGAGTTAGAGGTGTGTTTTGAGAATAAACCAATCAGAGTCTCATCTCCCATTCCCTTTAAGAGTCAGTTGCGTCGCTCCATGGCACATTTGCTATTTACATGGCAGACTTTGTAAGTGCAAACTGAATGCTTCACTAGCGAGAAAACAGACCATCTGCAGCGTGAGAATATGAGCCTCCTCATTCTTTATTTTGAATTTCACTCTCTTTCGTGGATAAAGAAACGTGTTGTAGGCCTATGCACAGACATCCATTAGCCTACATAATTAATTTCGTTTATTAAGCGTAAATATTTGTTTCAAAACTTTTTCTAAATTCAGTTCTAATTTCCAGCAAACTAACAAATGAACAATAATAAGTTATCTCCAAACACACATGCTGTGTCCCATATGGTCTAAAACCTGACAGGTGGGCAAATCTAAACTTGTATTTTTAATAAAACAAATATAAACATGCTTATAATAAATAATACTGCTAATAATAACATTACACAAAAGCAAATTGTTATGAATAACCTGAAAAAGCCCCCGGGATGAAGAAGGAATGAAAGTAGTGGTTTTTATAAAAAAAAAAAAAAAATTATGTAAATATAAATAATAATTTTTGTAATATTTTATTCCTTTAATTTTTTTGTTGTAAAGATATTTGTGTATTGCTGTACATCCTGCATGTGTATTAAGCAATGTTTCAGCGAGGCGCACAACAAACGTGCTCTGTGCTGGAGTTTAGACCTGCTTTCAGCTGGCCTATTGTGCGATTTATTTTAGTTACTCAAAATAGCAACGCGCCAGCAATGCGCCTTACACACCTTTAATCTAGACTGAATCACCCATGAGTCCATAAAGTGGCGCAAATGGATTTGCTATTTAAACAACGTGGCGGAAAACGGGAAAATTATGGTCTAAAAAAAAGCAACACGTCATAGAAACACATCTTGCACCTTATTGCGCTGGGTGTAAGGCCCCTCATCATTAGTAGAAGTAGCAGTAGCATTGTTGTTGTTGTTGTTGTTGTTTTTATAAATAATACTATTAATATAATTATATATTTATTTATTTTATATGTATTCATAAGATATTATAAATTAATTAAAAATGTATTATTATTATTATTATGGTAACACTTTACTTGAACATTTATAATCATGGCATGACACAACATAAATGTAAATGAATTTTTATGCATGCTTATGACAACTGTTAAGTGTCATTTGCTCATTTTAAATGTATAAACTTGTCATAGGGCTGTTATAATTGTGTTATGAATATTTTTATTACTTTTTCAGTGGAACAAACTGTATTTGTCATTAACAGGCCCATTAAAATTGTCATTAATCTGTCAAATTCTTTTTAACAGCGTCATTTATATTTAATGACTTATCATGACATATTGATAGCTTCATGACAATCCTGTTTATGACAAGTTCTGTTGTCTTGGTAATGTCAAGTTGTCATGACAAAGACAAAATAGGTTGTGATTTTGTATTTTGTAAAATGCAATGTCAACTTTGCAATTAAATTGACCTTACTTAACTGAGCAAATGACACTTAATAGCAGTTGTCATAAGCACGCATAAAATCTAATTCACATTCATGACATGTCATATCATGATTGTAAGTTTCAAGAGTGTTATGAACACCCCTTTCAAGCAAAGTGTTTTTTAAGATTATTATTATTATTATTGGTGGTGATGGCGTTTATTATTTTTGTTATTGAAAATATTAGTACTAGAATTTAGAAATCTTTTTTTTTTTTTTATTTAAATTGCATTACTATTTTTCAGTGTGTCTGCTACGATGTGGATGTCGAAATTGCAAGATTTTCTTATTATTTCTTATTATTTTGATTTAATAAATATTCAGCTTGTACAAAAAAAATATTAAAAAGAAGCTTTGTAAACGCTGACCTGAAATTTCATGTGACGTGAATGCAGTTCAACAGAAGATAAAAACGTGACTTCTCTCACATTTCAAATAGATCGCTCGCTTTATCAGTGGTTATCAGTTATCATTTTATCATCTTGTTTTACACCCCCTCTTTTTGCAAACTGTAGCGTGACACCGGCTTTATTCTTCTCCCATTAAATAAAAACTTAAGCTGATTCTGAGTGAGAGAGATATAAAGAGCGCCACCCTCTGGCACCAGCAAATACACAAGTCCGACTTTCAGTTTACCCCAAAGAAACAGTATTAAAGTTTAAATCTGTAATTTAGGATGCAATGCAAATACACAAAATATATAACATTGTTCTAAAAAAAGAAGAGTATATTGTATTACAAATTTTATTATCATTGTACTTATTTAATAAACATTTCATATTCGTCACTATTTCAAGATAATAGAGGTAATAATATAAAAACCTGCATTTATTGTTCAAATATTTGATTATTTGTATTATTATTAGTTCACATTATATTGTATTCTATATTGCATGACTAGTCTAATAATCATGTGACCTTGATCATATTAAGTCAGTAACAGATGTTCATTTAGCAAAGCAAGAGAATGGATCAACCTGAAATCATGCAGAACTTCACAATCAAGTCTGAGGAGTTTAGCTTTCATTAGCTTTCAAGCAAATAAAAAAATAAAAAAATAATTACTGCATTTTGCTTTAGAAATCTGGACATCAGGAGTACAGTTTCAAACAAAACCTTAGTTAAATTGTCATCTATTAACTGCAGTCATACTTTACAGCTAAAATATTTATAATTCACTGTAAAACATCAGCTAATTAAACCTCTTTTTTTCTCTTTCGCCCTCTCTCTCTCTCTACAATGCACAACCTTTATAATGAAGTGCATACTTCACTAAATTAGAAGTCAGATGTGGGCTGCACTCAAAAGCAAAGTCAGCTGACTTGTTGCCGGATCCGGCAGTGACATTGGAAACCATTTGCACAAGCTTGAATCATTTATAACAAAACATATCTTTGGTGATAACTAAGTGGATACTGAATTAATAGAATACTAACATCTCACTAGAAATGACTTTAAAAAAGAATAAAGAGTAAAAGTTGCCTATATGTTTAATACTCAGTACAAGTACAAAGTAACCAAAAAATACTTAAGTAATGTAACAAAGTCCATTTACTTAAGTACTTTACACCACTGGTTAAAAAAAAAAAAAGTTATATACATTATTATAGGTATAATTGATACTTTTAGATATTTATTGGGGGCCCCCAGATTTTCTAGGGCCCTAAGCGACTGCTTACCTCGCTTATTGGTTAAATCTGCCCCATGCCACTGACTTCCATAGGAAAAAATCTAATGGCATGTTATTAAGTTACATGTTATTTGTTTTCTTCAAAATATCTTCTTTTGAGTTCAGCAATTAAACAAATAAAACAAGTAAAAGGAGAGCAAATGATGGTTGAGTTAACATTTTTATGTTAACAATCCCTTTAACCAACACACAATCTAAGAAGACATGGAGTTTTTGTGTTAGGGATGTCCAAGGAGTAAAATGCACATAGTCTTATTGTCCTCTGATGACATTCCTACCTTGAAATGTATCCTTTGAAGGCAGCTTTTTCCAGCTTTTGGACAGTCACAGCTTTTTATGTGTTCAGCAGGGGGCGCTGTGTTTCTACACATGACATCCATCCGTCCTGTTCCCAAACCCCTTGCTCCTGTCACAGGGATGCCGGAGCTCATCTCAGGAAAACACCCTGAAGAAACAATTACTCAGTCTGCTTGTTGTGATGTATGTGATGTATGTTCCTTGTTATTTTATTGCATTGTCTTGAAAATAAACATTTCATCGCAATTTCTACATTCTGTTGTTTTGTAGCCTTGTTGCAAAATGATTAAATTAATTATTTTTTCTCAAAATAATGCAACCAGTACCACACAGCTTGAAAGAAGATTGTTCGAAATCTTTGCAAATGTATTACAAATAAATAAAGGGGTGTGAAAAGGGGTTTGTTCCCTAACTGATTTTCTTTTTCTTTTCATTTTTTTTGCATGTTTGTTAATTTATTGCATGTTTGTTAATTATTTAAATAATAGTCAAAGATAACGCAAGTAAACATCATGCGGTTTTGAATTGAAGGTATTTATTAAGGGAATACAGAACATACATAACCCTGTGTGAAAAATTGTGTTAATTAAAACATAACTCTGGTTTATCACACTGTGTTCAATTTCCCTAGCCACACCCAGGCCAGATTACTGCCACACCTGTTCACAATTACTTAAATAAGACCTGTCCGACAAAGTGAAGTAGAGCAAGGTCCTCAAAAGCTAGACATCATGCCAATATCCAAAGAAATTCAAACACAAATGAGAAAGAAAACAATTCAACAGTGGTGAGATTCAACAGTCTGGAAGAGGTTATAAAGCAATTTCTAAAGCTTTGGGACTGCAGCGAACCACAGTGAGAGCCATTATCTACAAATGGCAAAAACATGGAACAGTGGAGAACCTTCCCAGGAGTGGCCATCCGACCAAAATTACCCCAAGAGTGCAGCTACAACTCATTCAAGGGACCACAAACAACATCCAAAGAACTGCAGGCCTCACTTGCCTCAGTTAAGGTGAGTGTTCATGACTCCAGCATAAGAACAACTGGGCAAAAATGGTTTGCATGGGCAGAGTTCCAAGACAAAAATCAGTGCTGACCAAAAAGAACATAAAAGCTTGTGTCAGTTTTGCCAAAAAAAGCATATTGATAACCCCCAAGACTCTTAGGAAAATACTCCATGGACTGACAACAGAAAAGTTGAACTTTTGGAAGATGTGTGTCCCATTTTGTTTGGAGCAAAAGTAACACCCCATTTCAGAAAAAGAGAATCATACCAACAGTAAAATGTGGTGGTGATGGTAATGTGATGGTCTGGTGTTGAATTGCTGCTTCAGGACCTGGAGAACATACTGTGATAAATTAAACCATTATGCTCTTTACCAAATCATCCTGAAAGAGAATGTCATCTGTTAGTGCCCTCAAACTGAAACGAACTTGGGTTCTGCAGCAGGACAATGATCCTCATTAGCAAGTCCACTTCTGAATGGCTGAAAAAAACAAAATGAAGATTTTGGAGTGGCCTAGTCAAAGCCCTAACCTGAATCCAATTGAGCTGTGGCATGATCTTAAAAAGGTGGATAATGTTCAAAAACCCTCCAATGTGGCTGAATTACAACAATTCTGCAAAGATAAGTGGGTTAAAATTCCTTCACAGTGCTGTAACAGACTCATTGCAAGTTATTGAAAATGCTTGATTGCATTTGTTCCTGCTATGGGTGGCCAAACCAGTTATTAGGTTTAGATATATAAAAAAATAACACACGCATAAGTATTTACAACTTTTACTCAGTTCCTTGCTGAAGCCTTTCAGCACCAATTACAGCCTCGTCTTTTTAAGTGCTACAAGTTACAATCTAGGCACAACTATTTTTGGAAGGGAAGCATCGATGCACATCCAATTTCAGATCTTACCAGAGATGTTCAATATGGTTAAAGTCTGGGTTCTGGCTGGGACACTCAAGGACATTCGCAGAGTTGTCCCATTGCCATCTTGGCTGTGTGCTTAGGGTTGTTGTGCAGTTGTAAGATGAACCATTATTCCAGTTTTAAAGTCCAGAGTACCTTGCAGCAGCTTTTCATTAAATTTGTCTCTGCACATTGCTGCATTCATATTTCCTTCGATTATTACTGGTTTCCCAGTTCCTAATGCTGAAAACACCCCCAGCCTGATACGGCCACCGCCATGCTCAGTGTGGAGATGTATTGGCTAGGTGATGATCGGTGTCTGATTTCCTCCAGACAGAGGGTTCAATCTTTGTTTCGTCAGACCACAGAATATTGTTTCTCATGGTCTGTGAATTCTGCAAGTGTCTCTTTGGCAAACTCCAGATGAGCTGTCAACTGTCTTTTACTGAGAAGAGACATCCGTCTGGCCACTCATGTAGGCCTGGGTCACTTTCAAACTCAGACTGGCTCACAACATTTTGCTAAGTTTTCCAAGTTGAATGACATGTTTCGTGGAAATAGTGTGCAACTTTGTGAAATGGGGTTTAAAAGAAAAGAAGCCACTGGGGGCTTTAAAAGCACACTTAAATGGGCCCACTGTGGGCCTTTTTTCATACATAATCGTTTATTTGGAGCTCAGAAAATGTAGAAAAAACGCAATTAGCATGCAGTGGTTTTTGGATGCATGAGCTCACTCTTTGGGAGTGCAATTGCTCATTAAAAGTAAGTGAGATAACAGTTTTGTACAGTGCATTACGATGCAGACAAGAAAGATTAATCGTTATCAGTTTAACCAATTTTGTACTGTTGGTTATCTGACAGACTATGGCAAGATTGATATGTGCATCTTGCCTTAGTTCCATAATATGCTATTTGCGCATCTCCCTCTTCCGTTACCTCTCTACCCTACACGCGGACTATGCATAGGTGTGTAGGGTCCTGCAAGTTACAGGAGGCCCCCTCACTCACCTAACAATTTGATTTGCAGAAAATATAGTAATATAATATTCAGACGTTAAAATAACAAACATGAGAATCATAATTGCATATTATTTCTCACAAAACCTTCAGACTAATTAACACTCAGGTTTGTTTAGATTGATATGTAATTTCACTACCTTGAGTGATGATGCATGTGTTTTGCTGTTGTTGGTGTTCAGAGCAGCGAGAGGCACTGGTGTTTGGGGTGTGGTGATGGTGTCTTCGATGGGGATCTCCAGGGCACCTCCTCCGGCAGCTGTAATGAAAGGCTGCCTGCTGTGGCGAGGCCAGGAGGGCACACTAGAGCCCAGAATACCAGCTCTGTGGCAGGATGACCAGGAGGGAGGAACAGTCTAGAAGAGACTCCCAAAATGTAATCTAAAAACAAGGGTGGATACAAGATGTATAATAGTATAATAAGACAAATTTTTATTAAATTGCTATTAAAAAAATGTCACATATGTGAAAATGAGAATGTAATACTGACAGCTAATGTGTTTTCTTCCTTTTTAACAATTTTGTAAACTGTTTATTTAAAAAGTTTTTTTTAGTTCTTTTAAAATTTTCCTTATTTATTATTAACATATTTTCATGTCTTATTATTTACTTTAAACTATTTTTTGTTTTCTAACTTATTCAATTTTATTTGGTTATTATTTTTCCCCATTAAATTGACATGAAAATCAATTGAAATTGACAACAAATTTTGATCAAATATAGAATTTTTAAACAAGCCACTAAATGTGGGTAAAAACAAATAAAATGCTAGGGGAATAATAATAAAAATAAATAAAATGTCTATCACAGCTGAATTGACAATTACTTATTTTTTTATAAAGTGTTTTCTTTGAATAATTGTTTATTAACAAATTAATGGATTCATTATAGTGAAAATCTAAATAAAAAAATTTGAAGATTACTTAAAAATTTTCTTTTTAATATTCTTAGTTCAATATTTCCTTATTGTTAAAATGTTTACCCATTTAAGGTGAACATTTTGAAAATGAGTGATTAAATTGTCTTACAAATGAAAACAATAATACAAAATCTCTTTATCATATTTTCCTCATTTTCAAAGATTTTTGTAAAATATTTCCTCATTTATTAATTAAACAATTTCACATCTGCGCTAAAATTATGCCTAAAAAGTACCTCGCATGAACCTTAAGGTCAACGTGAGCATATAAAAGAAATAAAAAATAAATCCTGGCTAAAAAAGAATTTTGCCACAGAGGAGACGCCTCTGACGATAATAACACATAGGAGCAAAAGTTGTGCTTAGTAGTAAGCGAGCGGCACAGACCGACCCAAACCGGTCTCATCTCCGTCGCAGAGCTCTGGGTGCTGCAAGCAGAGGGAAGCTGGGGTTAAATTCAGCTCTGGGTGTAACCGTACATAAACAAGCAGAGCAGACCTCAAACATGGCTTCTGGATGCACTACGGCCTGCAGGCCCGAAAAACAAGGGCCTGGATCATCAGTGGTCCATATTCGCTCAACAGGGGCCGACATGCAAATAAAATGCAACCTGAAGCAGCGGCTTCTTCAAACAGTCACAGCAGCAGGGAAAGAATGTTCAACATTACCATGTGTTGTGGTGGAAGACTGAAGGCATTCATTCCCTCATTGTCCCGTCCTCTCCTATGAAATACACCACCATTTTTACCTGAAAATATGTACCTTTTCTTCACAGCAATTTTGCCAGAGTTAAAAATCCTGGTGTTACTGTGTTTTAGAGTGAAGTGTTGTTTCATGGCGTTTAATTTACAATGATGGTGTAAAGCAGGGGTGGGGAACGTCCAGCCTCCAGGCCGTATGCGGCCTGCGAGACCATTTGATCCGGCCCCATCCATCAATTCAAAATCACCCCTCAGGAAAAAATTAATTAATAAATTTCTGTTATAGAAAGTGACAGTTGTACACATTTGTTGCTCTGCAAAACTCAGTTTCACGTGAAAATGACTAAATGCATGTGCTATAATGTAAAGTTTGCAGCTCGGGATGCGCATCATTCATTAATGTAAGCTCAAATCATTCATACTTTTAATAGCATGCTTCTGTGTGTGTGTGTGCGCGCGCGCTTAGCCTCGTAGACGAGCAGAGCACACACATCTAACGCCATCTCAGTGAGAGCGCATTAATGCTCAAATACACGCACATTTGTGTCAGAGCGCGGTGTTTAGTGATTATTCATATTAACCCTCATTTGTGTAATAAACAAACAAGTTGAGAATCAAAAGACATGCGAAAAGAGAAACCATATCAGAGCCACACTATTCTTAAAGTGACAGTGCGCAATATTCCTGCTGCTGACTGTTTTGTTCATTAATCAAACAATAAAAAGGAAAAATCCCTCACTGCTCTTGACTGAAGGGCTTTTGCAGCTGAAGTTTTTTTCTTACAGCAAAGATGCTTAAAGCACAGTTTGTTTCAAATTTTTATTCTACTGTATTTTTTCCCTTTCCTTATTTACAAATGAAAATAACTGTGCATATAAAAAATCTGATTTATTTGCCCTCCTGAATTAGCGACCCTTTCCCCAATTTCTTTTTCAACTCATTTTTAAACATAACAAATTTAATAACTCATTTCTAATAACTGATTTCTTTTATTTTTGCTATGATGACAGTACATTCTATTTTACCAGATATTTTTAAGATACTCAGCTTAAAGTGACATTCAAAGGCTTAATTAGTGTAATTAGGGAAGTCATTGTTTAGTTGTTTTTTTTTTCTGCAGACAATCAAAAATATATATATAGCTTAAGGTGACTAATAATATTGACCTTAAAATAGGTTTCAAAATATTAAAAACTGCTTTTATTCTAGCTGAAATAAAAACTTTCTCCTGAAGAAAAAATATTATAGGAAATACTGTGAAAAATTGCTTTGTTAAACATCCTTTGGGAAATATTTATATATATGTGTATATATGTATATATATATATATATATATATATATATATATATATATATATATATATATATATATATATATATATATACATAAATAAAAAATTCATAGGAGGGCGAATAATTTTAACTTCAACTGATAATCGTTATTACAATTATGACCAAAATAATCATGATTATGATTTTTCCCATAATCGAGCAGCCCTATAATTTACTATGGCCCCTAAACGATGTTACAAAAATGTAAATGGACCTTGATAGAAAAAAGGTTCCCCACCCCTGGTGTAAAGAGTACGATCTGACTGGTGTAATTATTAAAAGCCTTACTGTATGGACCCTTTCTACTGAGTGTTACATTATAGGTCGGTGTGGGTCACCTTTATGAGGCTTGCGTGAGTTTCCACTACCAAAAGGGTACCAATGGTACCAACTTTATAATTGTCCAAAAGGTGATGATAATAGTTATTTAATGTAGTTTGTTCATGTTTTAGGTTGCTGAAAATATAATTTGCACCTTTGTTTTTTACGGCTTCTTGTTAGTTTTTTCACACTTCACTTGCGCGTTTGTCAGTTTCTGAAATGATCAGATGTCAGAAGCACTTTAATAATCACGCGCAGGTTATTTTCATCAGCTCAAAAATTTCATTATTCTCATACTTTTAGACGGCCTCGTAAAACAACAACCGGACAAGGCAGATTTTGGCTTTGGCTTTGTGGCTGTTCATCAAGACGACGACAAGGTTTGTTTGAGCTCAGGTCGACCATGGCTCGTTTTAAATGTATATATTATTACAGTGTAATGTCTCAGCTGTGTTTTTAAAAATTGAAGACTCTTTGTTTTCATTCTCCTGACTTGTTGCAGGAGCGAGTGGCGTATCCCTGTAAACCAATAGTGTCCAGTTGATTGTCTAGCTCTGTCTTTTGGTACCCTTTTGTTGAGCTATGGTACCCTTTGCATAGGGTACCCAAAAAGTAGTTCCACTCAGTGGAGACAGGCCATTATTAATACTGGTAGTGCGACATGTAAAAATCCGGGACATTTTACATGCCGTGCGCTACAGTCAGCTCCTAAATAATAAGAAATTATTAAAGAAAATGAATAAATGAAATAATAAAATTAAAATGTGCTGTCTTATTCATTCGTTCATTCATTTTCTTTTCGGCTTAGTCCCTTTATTAATCCAGGGTCGCCACAGTGGAATGAATCGCCCACTTATCCAGCACATGTTTTACGCAGCGGATGCCCTTTCAGCCACAACCCATCTCTGGGAAACATCCATACACACTCATTCACGCTCGTACTGTACACTACGGACAATTTAGCCTACCCAATTCACCTGTACAGCATGTCTTTGGACTGTGGGGGAAACCAGAGCGCCCGGAGGAAACCCACATGAATGCGGGTGTGCATTCAACTGAAATGTGGCTAGAGGATGTGTAACACGATGAAGTTTTATTTTCTCATTGAATTTCTTTTTTACTTCAGTTATTTCTTACTCAAAACTGAACACACACATAATTAAATTGACAGTTTTTATTAAGAAATTAAGTTGAAAAAGCTTTTTAGGTGTAACCAGTTAAAGTTAAGTTGATCCAATAATTCACTTTTACAGCGTTAATTCCATCTTGAGGCCATCCTGATATTTTCAACTTTTTTATTTAAAAATTTTTACTTCCTTTAGTAAATGTTTGCTTATTTATTACATTATGTTTTCATATTAGCAATAACATTGACATAAAACATGGCTTAAAAACGAAATTCAACATTACCACATGCTGTGGTGGAAGACACGAAGCGTTGGTTCCCTTATTGGACGTCCTCTCTACCTAGTGGTCACCATGGATCCGCATTGTGGACATCACAAAGGAGGCAGTGTACAGTCCTTTGCAGACGCCTTGGCAGCCGCTTTGGCCGTAGTAGCGATGTTCCCTCTCTGTGATGATGTAATGTTTTGCAATGATCCGAACAGCTCAGCCAGAACCGGAGTCAGAGTAATGGATGAGTGGTTTCTGTGGACAGAGTTTTGTTTGAGAGTTTTATTTTTCGGTGGGTTGATTCAGTTGTCCATGAACCCTTCCAGCTCTACGGTTTGCACTTTGCGTGCCGTTTAAAGCTCTAAATTAAGGGTTTGTAGCCAAGAAGTGCATCTGCTATGATTAGTGTTCTGCCACTTTCCTATCCAGTATGAGGGGGTTTATCCTTAGTTTATATACACACTGTCCAAATGGGAAGCTTGTATAGCATGTTACGCTATATAATGCATGCTAATTATACTGGTGTAAATTTGACTTGCAAGTAACAAAGGGCAACTAATGTTTTTTCTTTGTTTTTTATTATCATTTGTTCATCATTTACTTATTGAACATATAAATATTTTGCATAAAAGTGAATTAAATCAAGCCAAAAAAAATATAAATAGATAATGATTAGTTGTCTTCTGAAAGCTAGTCAAAATGGCAAAAACAATTGCAATGGATTTACTTATTTTTTGTATATTATTTGTTAAATGTTTGTTTATTATGTAATTTTTAAAAATATTTTGTCTTACAAGAAAGTCAAAATGCATTTAAACATTTTTTTTAATCTAAATAGAAAAAAATATACAATATTTAAAAAAAATTATCAAATACCAATAAAAAAATTGTCTTAAAAGCTGTGTAAAAGCTAACTTTTCTAATATTATGATTGATTTTCAGACATTTCAAGTATGAGCAGTGTTAATAAATACTAAATAATAAGTTATATAGCCACCTGACAAATCACACAAAACTCCTGTAACGTATTACATAATGCATCTGATCGTCCTACATAAGGGATGCCACTGTGGTGAGGACTGCAAAGAGAAACTGCCAATTTAAAGGCAGAAAGGGAAAGGAAATTTGGAAATTTCACATGAACTGAACTTAAATAGGCCCTGAAGAAGGATCCCACAAACTGAGCCTCAATGAGTCAGTGAGTTCATGTTATGTTTCCACTCAGTGAAATAAAGAAACCGTCCATCTATCTATCCATCCACATATCTATCCATCCATCCATCCATCTATCTCAATATATACATCCATCTACATATCCATCAATTGATCCACCCATCCATCCATCCATCCATCCATCCATCCATCCATCCATCCATCCATCCATCCATCCATCCATCCATCCATCTATCTATCTATCTATCTATCTATCTATCTATCTATCTATCTATCTATATCCATCAACATATTCATCCATCAATATATCCATCCGTCAATATGTATACAAACTGCAAAACCTTGTTGATAACCTGCAAAAGCATGTCATTTGCTCAAAATGGATAGCTCATCCCTCAAAAGCAAGTATTCATGTCAATAAAAGTGTCAGTGTCATCAAGAGAAAGAGAAAGTCCTGACACCATTGTTTATGAACTAGATAGTCAAATGGCTGTCATGTTTTTATTATGACAGTTTACTCTGTTGAGGTTTTTCAATGCAATAAGGTCAGATTTTAGTGACACGTCCTGAAAATTCTCAAGACAGCACTATATACTATTTTGCACAGCCATTTGAAAACTACAGTAAAGTTAGACATCAATGCATTTAGTGAAGTATCTGAGTACAAGACAAGCCTTTTGCAGGTTATCAACAAGGTTTTGCAGTTTGTATACATATTGACGGATGGATATATTGATGGATGAATATGTTGATGGATATAGATAGATAGATAGATAGATAGATAGATAGATAGATAGATAGATAGATAGATAGATAGATAGATAGATAGATAGATAGATAGATAGATAGATAGATAGATAGATAATTTATCAATTATATTCTATCTATAATTATTTAAAAAAACATCCAGTTATCATCATGCATTGCAAAACCTACAGTAATGTAACGTTACATTTAAACACAGGGGGCAGTGTAGAGTCCTGAAGACCTGAAGTATGTGTAAAAATATGTATGTGTTTAGGAGGACCAGGGTTGTATATAAAACTCCATAAACAACAATATAGCGCCAATATTACTCAGAGATGTGGAATTTAGAAGTACCTTAGATGGAGATACTATTTAAAATTCGGCCTTAAAAAGGAATCCTGCTGAAGGAGAATCCGGTTTCAAGCACCTGAGTTTAATTTATGCACTGTTGATTTCCTTGAAGCACGCAGGCAGCGAGTGCGCACTAGAGCTCTTCAAGTCTGGAAGGGGCAGTGACGATCTGACGGACACCACGTGACGGGAAAGGCGGGGCTTCAGCGCACTGTAGAAACTTTCGTCGAGCTCCGCCCTTCAACAGCTGCAACGCATTTATACACATGTGCAAACTTTGCCCATGTACGACACTCCCTAAAACCTGTGCGGCTCCTCTCCAAAGAACTCCAGCGACCTTCCCCTGCTCCGATTCAAGAGGCAAACCCCATTCAGCCGTGGATTTCTCCGAGTACACAAGGATCCTTCTCGGTCCGAAAACTTTTTTTTTCTCTGAGCTGGAACTCACTTTAGAAAATGTCTGCTTCGGTGCTGTCTTCCATATATGACTTCGACAGGGTAAGAGTTTGTGCTTTAAAATCAGCTGTATAAACTGGCTTTAAGTTCACCGTTGTTTGTTTTCTTAGTTTATCTTTGTTTGTTTGTTCAATTTATCCGGGTTGGCAAACTTGTAACTTGAGAGCTGCATGTTTACTATATGTGACCACTCGCCAGTCAACTCACTGTTAGTGTTGTGTGGCACTCCAAGGAAGGAGTTTTGTCGAGTCTTTTGCTTTTTTTCACTTGTGTTAACTTTTTTTATTTAACTTCGACACCTTTGCGCATTACTTATCTGTACATTTTTATTTATTTATTTTTATTTTTTGTAGAGCCCAATTGTACACTTTCAAGCAGGGCTGTTGTTACAAACTACACCAGTAGTGTTATTAGTAGTTAGTGTTATTAGGAAAACCTATATATATAAAAGTTTTGTTAATGAATTACATGTTCGAAATAATGATGTCAACATTATTACATTTTAAACCTCACAATTTTAACTCCAGAGAACAAATAAAACTGTGACAAACACAGAAATGTGTTAAACTCAGCGTTTGCCATATGTGTAAATGTAAATGTGTGTTTTATAGACCTGTACATTCAAAGTTTTGTCATTTGACGTGCACAATTTACTTTCTGTTGCCATGTATATATTCAATTCTGCTAATATGGCATACAAAAAAAAATATGTATATGTTTTTTACTTTTTAGTTGGGTAAACCGATACTAATACCCACAATTTGTGTTTGCTTCAGGAAAAAGTCCCGAATTCGAATGCAATCTATCTCCACAATATGCTGGAAAAGAGGAATGTTGGGGTCCCGCTTGCTGCTTCCAACACCAACAGCAACAGGTCGTTTGGTTATTTCAGGAGTAACTCGACAAACCACATGGACTTCAACATGAGCAACAGGCTCCAGATCGGGTTTGAGAGCTCCACACCTGCCTTCATGAATAAAGAAAACAAGTACCGAGACCGCGCGTTCAGTGACGCGGGAGAACGCAGTCAACAGCTTCAGGAAATGCTTCAGCAAAAGCCCGGCTCTCAGATCAACTCCACCCGCTACAAAACCGAACTCTGCAGGCCTTTTGAGGAAAACGGCTCCTGCAAGTATGGAGAAAAGTGTCAGTTTGCTCATGGCTATCACGAACTGAGAAATCTGTCCCGTCACCCTAAGTACAAGACCGAGCCATGTCGCACATTCCACACTATTGGTTTTTGCCCGTACGGCCCACGCTGCCACTTCATTCACAACGCTGATGAACGCAGAGCTGCTACAAATAACACTCAAGCGAGGCTCAGCCAGGAGCTCGGCATCCTTGGAGAGAAGGAGTCTTCGAACCCATTCCTGAGACCAAGGGAAAGACCAAAGCTGCACCACAGCCTTAGCTTTTCCGGTTTCTCCAGCTCCCGCAGCAGTGACACGGCTCTGATTGACAACCCAACATCACGAACGCCCCCACCGCCCAACTGCTCGCTCACTCCCACCTCACCCTGCCTGAACGCCTTCACGTTCCCCGATCAGGATCTTAAGGCTTTTCTTGCCCCAATCATCCCTCATACCCAAAGCAGCAGCTTGTACAGTAACATCCAGACCAACGGCTGCCCGCCTTCACCACCTTTCAAAATGAGCCACTTGCCCTCCATGTATCCACTCTCAGAGTCTCCAGTGTTCGATTCTCCACCAAGCCCGCCAGATTCCCTCTCAGATCCTGAAGGGTATCTAAGCGGCTCCTGCTGTTCCTCTGGCACAATCAGCGGCTCGGAGTCGCCCAGCATGGACGCAAATAGACGTCTGCCAATCTTCAGCAGGCTGTCGATTTCAGACGATTGACTTGCTATTCTTATTATAGCCTTTTATCCAAGTAGTGCCAACATGAGTTTCAGGTCAAATATCAGTCTCAGCCGTTGGTGTTCATCTCATGATTGAGATTTGATTATATTGTATTTCTTCTTTTCTCTTTTTTTTCCTTTAACCAAGATGATTGCTTCAACAGTCTAGGAGCAAAAAAAAAAAGGCATACGTAGAAGTAAATCTTGGGAAAACATTCCACAAGTTTGGAAGTAGTGTGAGAGCACAAGAACTGGGACTCATAAGTTGGTCATGGAATGTCATTGCAGATTTTCGATTTCTTTTTAAAACTGTGTGGTATCATTGCATTTTGCATCATGCTTTGAAATCTATTTAACTTATTTATTGTCATGTGAAAAAGTATAGCCTTCAAGGATAAATTGAGTCCATATGGTATTTATCGAATCTAAAAAAAAGCAATACACTTATATTCCTGTTAAAAATTGTGATCGCCAATATTAACCTGGAAAACCGTTGGGTTTGTCTCACAATAATATATTTTTGTTAACTCGTTTGTTTTACTGTAAATAGGTAAATAATTTAAGATTGTATGCTATTTATTTCAATTTTGTTTACTGTGTGTATATTATATATAAATATATTAAAAAGTGGTAGCGTCTGTTGAGGTCACGCTGTGATTTCTTGTGCTGGAGGGAGGATCTATGGGCATTTCTAGAATGTAGCCTGTCTAATGAGGTCTTTTTGGCCATGAATAACTAACTCACTTCACACCTTAAAGTATGACTTTTCGTTCGGTTTTTGTTTTTTAGCAACGATAACAACCAAAAAAGCGAGAGAAAGTATCCATTTGCACACAGTTGCGTGACGATTGCAGTCTAGTGCCAGAGAATGTAGCACTCTCTCCTATCTAGAGGTTAATAACTAGCTAATATGTGCCTGCCGGGGTCGAGGATCCCGCATAGTTTAACCTAACACAGCAGTTGCTTTGGTGTATATCTAAAGCCAGTTGAATTGAATGTAGCTCATAGATCAAGATGCCTTTTTTATGGTGACTGAGATGCTATTTCCTTGTTTATTTTTCTACTTTTTAGATCGTTCAATCGCACCATTCCTAATGAAAGATGCTCTGACTTTGTGCTTCTCTAGACTTGCTGAGCTGACCAGGGATATTAAGTTTGTAGCTGGTTAATAACTATTACTTTTTAGATGAAGTAAAGCAACACTGAATGTAACGAGTCAACGTCAGCTGGAGTTGGAGTGTGTATGCAAAGTGTGCAGAGTAAATTTGTACTGTATGTTGTTTTTTTTAATTATTATTATTTTAATATTTTCCATAGAACTTCTAATAAAGGCATTTTTGAACAAGATCTGGATGTTCTCAGGGGGTTTTATTTAGCAAGTTGTTGTAGCAAATATGAATTGTTGTTCCAAGATCAATATATTCATCTTCTGTAATGAAATGATGACATGTCAAATGTGATACTGGAAGATTTATTTTACTCCATTAAATGTCTGTACATCCTAAACTTTAATACTTTAAAACATCCAAAAATGAAATCAAACAGACAACATTATTGGTCAAATTATTCAAAAACAAAATTGTGTGTGCAGCATACAAAAAATATTCTTTAAAAGTGTTGAAAATCTGTAGTTATTATATTGATGGCTTTCAGATTCCAGTTTTGTGTTTAACGGGAAATAATGTAAACGTTTAATACCCCCTGTAAGTGAATGAACTTTTAAAGTTTCTGAATGAACTAGCCCTTTAAGACATAAAACAAATGATACATTCAATATAAATGAGTGTATTGCACATAAATACTGACACTAAACCAGCATTGTAGCGGTGTAAATTAAATGAGAACTAAATTCTGATTTAAAATAATTTGGTTTTCTGCATTATATAAACGGTGGCTTGATCACAAAAAGCTTCTTCAGGGAACCATAAACAAATCTTCTATAATACTCTTATGTACCTAGTGTAGCTATATTTTCAACAAAAAGCAAATAATAAGAAATTGCATAAAAAACAAATGTTAGAGCTTCTGTTAGTGTTCACTGATCTGTTTAAATATGATAAAAAAATAAACCGGATTGTCATATAAAGTAGCAGTGTTTACTTAGGCTTATATTGAACAACTAACTTAATTCATATGAATTTGTCATTCAATATTTTTATGACTAGTTTGTTGCATAAAATTTTGGCTGAACACACTCAATGAACAGACTAAATTAAAATTAAAACATTAAGTTAAAATACTTTTACATTTGAAATAAAAAAATAAGTTAAAATACCTTTGTATTATGAAGATAATTTCAAAGATTTAATTTTAAACCTTAGGACAGGGCTTATTCATGCAACATCCTGTAAATTATTTTCTACTCTCTATTCTGGTCTGCTTTCCTGCCCTCCTGCTTTTCTTCTACTACAATGTGCTGGAGTTTGGTCTCCTCTGCTGGTAGAATATTCAATAGAGGCCTGCTTTGTGTGAATGGCAGAAAGTGAAGTATGAGGGGGGAGCGGTGGCCCCGTACAGCGATCTGTGTGAGTTTATAGACCCTCCCAGTCAGGAGTGCAACAATGCACAGTTTCTCAAAAGAGGCCTTACTGGAATTTACAATGTTACATAAAAAAAAGAAGAAGAAGAAGAAGAAAGATTACCACTGCTTGCTCAAATTACTTTATTAGAATGAGCTGACATTGCAATTCTTAATTTTTTTTTAAAAATCATATTAGTATTATGTTCAACCATTTTCAAGGAGTAAAAAATTAATCTGATTATTTTGTGTTCGGATGTCATGAATCGGGTTTGTTGGTGTAACTAAAGACACTTTCCCACAGCATTCTATAGCATGTTTGGAGGATTTTCCACTGCTTTTTATATCTAGTACCTGGTACTTTTTTAATTACACCTGGTTCCACGTGAGCCGCACCATTACTAAAACATAATGTATACACACTGCTGATCCCAGATTGCTCTAAGATTCATCAATATTAGCCTCTTCAGATTTGAATGTATTGTTGGTTCATATGACTAACTGTTTTAATACAACCAAAAGAAAAACACACCTCAGAATGCAGCATTGTGGTCAGCAAAAGATGTCTAGGAGTTCCTCACGTTCATAGCCAGTGAAAAGGATAATGTTATGGCAATATGGTTGAGTACAAATATAGTGATAATCCCACTAAATTGATACTAAATTGCAGTGGAAATGTGAACTGAGTTGAGCCAAACCGAACTGAAGCAAGCTGAGCTGTGCTGTGCCATACCGTAGGTTAGGTAATGGATGTGTAGTTTCCAGCAGGCATTAAGAGGATAAAATGTTGATAGTATTGTAAGAGTTTAATCCTCACTTATTTTTGAGATTTAGAAGAGTGTTACAGTTAAAATTTTGATATTTTTGTATGTTAAAAACAATAAATAATGTTGTTAAAAGATAGTTCACCCAAAACTGAATTTTCTGTCATCATTGCAACATAGGTTCATTCCTATGTACATTTCTGGAGATCGTGAATTATGTAGCCAGAAGTACGTAAAGGAACATTATGTTGTGAAATGATGTCGCTCCTTTTTTGCGCTTACCAGCTAACTGCCTACCTCTGTAGGTATGGCTTTTCCACATTAACCAGTTTGTCCAGTGGCTTGCCGCATATACTGGAGGATTTGAGACACAGAGAAAAGTTGAATGTGACGACAGGGTTCGAGTCCTGCAAAGAACTATTCCAGAAAGCAGCTAAGACAAAAACAAAAGGCAAAAAATAAAATAAACAAGTAAATAACAGGGTGAGATTTGGTAAAATCTGAAAATATGGCAATAATGAGGCTGTCGTCAGAGCTTTTCTTTTTCTGCATTTCTTTTGAAAACATTGTTGGTTGGGTGTAGGTAAGTGGGTGGGTGATAGTCAACCAGTGCTTTTGAAAACACTATCGGTTGGGTTTAGGGAAGGTTGGGTTAAGTTAGTCAGTCAGTCAGTCAACAGCGGCCTCTGGTGGGCAGGGGTGAATGGCATTCGTGAGAGAAATTTAACGTCTCAAAAAGCATGCACATACACATCTGGTTATTTCGCCAAAACAAAAACTGCAAAAAAAAAAGTACCTCCTTGGATGTATTTGGTGCTCTCCAGAAATAAATATAGGGGTACGTTTTCAGACCGAGCCTGGGTTGCATCATTTACTCTCCCTTCACTTGTTTAAAACAGGTTTGACCTTTTTTTTTCTGTTGAACCCAAAGCAAGATACTTCGAACAAAGCTGGAAACCGGAGAATTCTTTTTTTTGCTGCTTGTTCAAACTACTTACTTAAAATGAGCTGAACCAACACAATTCCTAGGGTTTTTTGGGACATGTTTTATGTTCAATCTACTTAGTTTAGTTAGAACAAATAAGTTACCCTAATCTATTTATGTTGGGGCAATATGACAGAATCATATGGAACCCAGCATTTTTATAGTGCACTGTAAAAAGTGATAAGTTACTTAAAGCGAGTAAACCAGAATGCCTTAAAAGAAACAAGATGACTTCACAAAATAATGTAAGTCAACCCATTGTAACTTGAAACTGTTAAGCTCACTTAATTTTTATTATTATGCAAATTGCACTCACATTTTTAATAAAAGTAATCACTTTTTCCAATAAACATTTATTATATTTTATATTATATTTTATTATAGTTGTTTTTTTATAGCTTTTCTGCATCTAGCAAAACGACATACAGTAATATAAATCTGCTCTTCCAGACTCCAGTGTGTCTTTTAAATTCAATAGAATTTTTAGACTTAATCAAGCACCAAATATGTGATATTGTAATAATTGCAGTAATTATTTGAAAAAAGATGTGCTGAAATAGTCTGACACTGTAAAAAGGGATTAGTTGACTTAATAAAATTAGCATAGCTATAAAAATTAAACTTCACAGTTCCAAGTTACAATGGGTTGACTTACATTATTTTTGTAAAGTCAACTTGTTGCTTTTAAGGTAATTGGTTTACTCGCTTTAAGTAACTAATCACGTTTTACAGTGTGCACTGTACTTAAATAAGTAGTTTGAAGAAGCAGCAACATAATTTTTGAGTATGTACTTTAGATGTCAATGGTTAATATTTTTAGCCTTCTTCAAAATATCCTCTTCTACATGTTTTCGGCAGAATAAAGAAGCTCATAAAGGTTTAGAACCACTTAAGGTTGTCAATAATAAGTACATTTTCATTTTTTATTTCTCACAGTACTATAATAGCTAACACAACATTTTAGTTGCCCAAACTGATTAATTAAGATTGATTGGCTCAGCAAGAGTAAACTGAGATAAGTTGCCAAGATAATTCAAATAAAAGGGATTAGATCTCATTGGTTGAAAACTAATTTCAAACTTTCGAAAGTTGAAATAACATGTGGAAGTGTGTGTCATGATGATATTAAGTTACACCAAATGTTTTATGTTTTTGAGTGTGCTCTCCTGCTGGCCAAGATATGAAATCTTCTGACACAGTATTTAACGCAAGAAATGTAATTAGGAAAGCACAGACGTGTATCAGTGTGAAGGGTCTGCTGGGGAAGATAAGGAGTTCTGCAAATATTTATATCCCAAGAAGTTCTCAGACAAAGCTGTTTAACTTTGAGGGTTTGTAATGTATGGCCTCTCACAAGCGTATGTATGATAAGGTTGATAAACGCCTCAATGATTGCTCTGGCTAATATGTGAATGTAAATCTGAACATATGTGGATCCAGTGTGTGCGTGCATGAATGCTCTGTGCGCGAGTGTGTAAAAGAAAGGTTGTCAGGCATTAATGAAGCACATCTCACAAAAGCAGGAAAACACTCTGGTCGCTGATTAGGGACTCTTGGGAGCAGAGCTTATTCCTCTTGGATTCTTTCCACTACAGTGCGGCTCTTTTGTGATTTATGTGAAGCAAGCTTGAGGCCATTTTCAGTCATGCAGACATACATTTTATCAAAATTTGAGTAAGAGTTCTGTTCTTTGACAGTCGTTCCAAAAAAGCCAAAATGATCAGCCTTGGATTTATAAAACTTTTCATATTCTTTATATATAATATAATATAATATAATATAACATAATATAATATAATATAATATAATATAATATAATATAATATAATATAATATAATATAATATAATATAATATAATATAATATAATATAATATAATATTCATTTATTCTTTTTCTTTTCGGCTCAGTCCCTATATTAATCTGGGGTCGCCACAACAGAATGAACCTCCAACTTATCCAGCATATGTTTAACGCAGCGGATGCTCTTTCAGCTACAACCCATCTCTGGGAAACATCCATACACACTCATTCACTACGGACAATTTAGCTAACCCAACTCACCTGTACCACATGTCTTT